TTTTGAAGCCTGCAATTCAGATTTCCTAAAAATATTGATATGAAAATTTTCTTTGAAATTAAAGTTTCATCTGGATTTCCCCCCAAAAATTTTCAAAAATGTTGGTTCATGTAAATTTCTCAGAAAGTGTGCATTGCAGGGTCAAAAATGGCTTCCAAGTGAGCCTAAACTCTTGGATTTTTTTCAAAATTCATTGTTTCTAAGAGGGCTATGCTCAAAGCAGACACATTTTCAAAAAAATTCTGCTTTGAGCATAACCCCCTTCATGCAATGTTGAAAAATGTGTGCAGTGATGATGTCAACCTGTGGATTTTTGTTTCAAACCTTGGGCTTAAAAGTTTCATTGCAGGGGTTATGCTCAAAGCCAAATCCATTTTCAAAGAATTTTTTCTGTAAGCATAACCCCCTCAAAAAAAATTTTAAACCTGCAATCTACCCTCTTTAAAATTTAATTAAAGCCTCATTTTATCCTTTCAATCATGCCACTGTATAAAACTACTGTTTAAGACACAAAACTATTTCTTTTTTTTTTAATTCAATTTTTTCAAATTTTCTGGAACAGATTAAACGATTTCCCATACAAGTCTATGGGAAATTGTGATTCGCAGTAAGAACGTTTCATACTAAGAACGTTTCATACTAAGAACGTTTCTCCGGAACGGATTACGTTTGTAGTGCGAGGTACCACTGTAATGGAAAGCATATCAAGAAGATATTCTTTGTCTGTTCCTTTGTTTTTATTTTTTGGAACAGATGTGGTAAAAGTTAGGCCTTAATTTAATTATTGATTGGCCTCATATGGTTCATGTAACATTGGCTTGAGTAAAATTAAAAGACCTACAAAAATATTTATGCACACACCTGTGCTGTAGGAATACTGTGTACACATACAGTATACAGGTTAACCTCAAAGTCAAACTTGAATGCATTCTAAGAGTTTCTAACTTGGATGGTTATAGAATTTGGAATCCATAGAAATCATTTTCTCGCCAAATTATTAGAACTCCTCATGGGTGTCTGCATTTAGGAATATGACTATAGTCCTCTGTAATGGAAAGCATCAAGAAAATAATCTTTATATGTTCCTTTGGTTTTTTGTTTTTTTTAGGGACAGATGTGGTAAAATTTACACCCCGATTTAATTATTGCATGGCCTTATAAGGTTTATATTACTTTGAACTTAAGTAAAATTGGCCAGCAGGGATTGGCTGGAAATTTGAATTAAGGAGGTTTTTGACTATAGGAGATGTTATTGACTTGTTCTAAGTTTATTATGTGCAGGCTTCAAGAGTTGAATGGAAAAATCCTCAAGAAATGTCTCTCATAGAACCATAAAATGAAAGTCCGCAGTTTAAAAAAAAATGTCAAGTTTAGATCGATGCTTGAATCTTGAAAGCTATTATTTATTATTATTGAAAATGTTGATCATATATATATGATGGACATCCATACAATATATTTTTATTGTTTCCTTCTTTATCTCCACAAAGAAACACAACGAAGGCATCGTTATGATCAACTTCTACTCAGGTTTCATCAAGTGTGACGTGAATATGACTGAATCACCCCCATCTAACAACGCTGTGATAGCAGATGTAGTTGGTGAGTCATTTTTCTGAAAGTCTTTATTGTATTTATACTTCCTGCATTTAAATGCATCAGTTGTTGTTTTTCTGCAGAGCATTTCAACTACGTCAAGAACTTGATTGGTGTCAACTACATAGGCATTGGAGCTGATTATTGCGGTGTGGGTGTGTAAGTGCTGAATTAAATCCAAGATCTGGAAGTTATCTCACGGAAATGTTTGCATCGAGCGACACCTATTTTGTAACTGTTTTTTCTCATCACTTCAAGGTTACCGGAAGGTCTTGAAGATGTCTCAACCTATCCGAAAGTTCTAGAAGCACTTCTGAATGCAGGATGGTCTGAGCTTGAAGTTCGGAAAGTGACAGGACTAAACATGTTGCGTGTTATGCGACAAGTACAAAAAGTATGTCCAATGTTTTTACATATTCTTCTTTAAATTAATCTGCAGTTGATCAATACTAAAGGATGGTGATATTAACCAGAAGTGACATTTAAAAAAGTACAATAGTGTGTGTGGGTAAAAAAATTGAACATTCTCTAGAAAAAATTTTACATGAAGGTCCTTGTACAAAGAAATGTGCTAGAAAGATTTGTCATGATGATTTGTCAATTTTAATAGCAATAAAATTATTTATCTAATTCACCCTAAGTTTCCCTCAACTATTGTATCTTAATGTTGCTCCCACTACTGCATCTTATGTATTCAGATAATAAGAAATCAACATTCAAATTATGATTTGCTCAATTGATATGGTCTCATTTTGGTTTTACACATTTTACTCATGCATGAGAAAATGATAGACTACTTCAATCAGAAAACATTCTATGTATTGGCGGGAAAATTTTTTGCTGAAATTGTGTGACATTCATTTTTTCTGCATCCTGCTGTAACACTTTTTTATTTTTGGGTAATATTCTGACATGGCCAGAAAGATAACGTCGGATTTAAAAATGTTACTTTGTGATTTTCAGGAAAGAATTTCCAATTTCCAAAAGTAATGCAATTTTTATTAGTGATTTTTCAAAGGGTCCCTGTATTACTTTGATTTGAAGGCACAAAAACATGCCACCTGCAGTTTATTCAAAAGAAAATACCTGTTTTTAATATACATCTTGATGAAAAGCTCTCATGTGTAGTACATTTCATGAAACTTTTCCATCTTGTCCAGGTAAGCAGCGATTGGCAGCGCAAAGGACTGAGACCCTTGGAAAACCTGATTCCATTAGAGGATGTTCCTGCAGATTTTTCCTGTGGGTCATCTGAAATGACAGCCCTTGATGAGGTCAGGTCGTCAGAAGTACCTGATCAATAGAAACAGCGAAGAATCCGGCTTACCTGAGATTGTGTGAAAAGGGTTTTTTCTGTACAGACTGATGTATGTTCGAATGTATTTTTTAATTATTACTAGAATTAAATGACTGCATTGTTGAATTTCAGGATAAATATAAAATTCACATTATTCTATTTTTGCGAATGCTAGTAGCTAGAGCACCAAAGTGGAGAATTTGGACAAAAATTGTGCTGAGCATTATAGAAAGTTCTGTATTTTTAGATAGTTTCAAAATTTAATTCAAGTTCGGGCACTAAATTCTGTGTTTTTTGTATGCAGTCATGCGAAAACTTGCGTATGATTTGTAATAACCCTATTCCCGTTTGCTTGAGAAAAATCTAGTCACGATTTTCTTTTCAACCGCGCATTTATTATATTTTAGTTTGTAATCAGGGAACTTAAAAAAGCTGCTGTTTGAGAAATAAAATATTTTGATTGAAATATTAAAAATAAACCGCGCGTATAAATGTATTATACTGTACTTTTGGTTGCATACGTCTATCGATCAAGCTCTGTATACCTGTATACGTTTTGTATTTCGATGCGAATGATCTTGTTCGAAAATAAGGTGCGCATTAGTTTTTACTCTTCTTTTATATTATATATACATCATTATATAAGCCCCGAAGTAAGTTTGACTTTATTTGAACGTGGCTATATTTTTCCAGTGAAGAAAAGACCATTCTGCAGCCGAATGATAGTACGTCGTACGTGCCGAAAAAGAGAAAGCGAAATGTTTCTTTTATTATTACAGTATTGTGAAGTGCATCTAGCTTATTTTTATTGAAGTTTGAAAGCGCGCGGGTGTTTTGTACCCATCATATGTCTCGTCTGCTACTGTACACTGCTGGATGATGCATGCTGGTCCTTTCAATAAAAATTCTTTAAAAAGTGCTTGCATTCATTTTTTCTCTCCTGCGAAGGGTTGAAATACCAAGCTCAATGATAATAATACTGTACGAGACCTCGAGACGTTTGATGCACGACTTTTACGAAGGGAACTCGGACGTGCAGCATGGGGAAGAACGGACATACTTAACTAGCGACATCTACATAAAACGTGGCAGGCATGTTTGGTGTAGTTTTGGGAGTCATATTTTCACGCTTTCTTCTGTTATACGCGCTGTTCCTACAATTCTCACGCGGAAAATATCACAATGTGTAAAAAACGCGACTTCCACCACTCGGTTGTGGAACTTAGTGAGAGATACCAATCTCGAACACAACTTTATCACGCTATCTCTCCCGCAGATCTACAAGGACGCGACCCTAACGCCAACCGGGAAAAACATCCGCCGGAAAGGGCAATGGCATCTAACGGACCCCGCCGCCGAAAAAGACAACGAAACCTAACGGAACCGAGTACAACTTTATCACGCTATCTCTCCCGCAGATCTACAAGGACGCGACCCTAACGCCAACCGGGAAAAACATCCGCCGGAAAGGGCAATGGCACCTAACGGACCCCGCCGCCGAAAAAGACAACGAAACCTAACGGAACCGAGGTCACACACACAGACACATAAGGACAACCCCAAACGGAAGACTTCACTTCAGTCCAAACTTCTGCACCAACCACATCTCCTAGCTGCTCCGTGTATCTTGTGTCTTGTGCATAAAAAACCCTTCTGTGTCCTCGTCAGAACCGACCGCCTACGACAAGAAAATATACTCTGTCCTTTTCACCTGTATATCATCTACGATTTCCAAACACTTACTGTACACTGGATCTCATCCGCCTCTCCTCCGATCTTGATAACCATCTTTCTTCCGGTTCTTGTCAGGGTGGGAGATTTGGTTGAGTGTTTGAAGTTTAGGAATATTTGGGTAGATGTCGTTACTAAGGTGAACCGGGAGGTATACCTTACTACGTCAATACCAAATCCTCAACATGTGAAGTCTCTTGAAAGAGTCATTGTTGTCCATCATTTGATACTGTGCAGGTTCCTTTGAGATATTGAGCAAGTGGAGAGGATCCACAGAACTGAAGTACAGTACTGTACTGTAATCTACGTATACGCCCGCATCTGCAGTAACATAACATGTTCTCGCGGAGTCCGCACGCCTCGAGCGCATCTTTAACATGGTTAAATGCTTCGATAGCTTCGGGATTCCAGGTCAAACGGGTCAACGGTTTGCTAGGGATGATTTGCCGGAGAATTTTTTCCAATGTTGCGAAATTAGTCGGTAAATGCGCGCAAAGATAAGTTGCCATTCCGAGAAACCTCTGCATTTGGCGGGTTGTCTCGGGTTTTGGAAATCGGCGGACCGCATCTAAATCTTTCTCAAGGGGTCGGGTCCCGGTTTGGTCGATTTCGTGACCCAGGAATACCGTTTTCCGCGCTAAAAAATTAGATTTCAAAAGATCGACGGCCGCGCCGGCTTGCGCTAGAACGGAACAGATGATGTCCAAATTCTCACAAACTTGATTGAAGGATTTCCCAAAGATGATTATGTCGTCCATATATGCTAAGCAGCAGACGAACAAATGATAGCGGAGAATATGGTTGACTGCTCTCTGAAATGCCGCTGGGCCATTTTTAAGGCCAAACGGCATGACCCGATATTGCATTTGACCTCGCGGGGTCCAAAACGTGGTTTTGGGGCAATCCTCCACGGAAATTGGCAGGTGATGGAACGCGGAATGCAGGTCTAAGCTGCAAAAATACGCATTATTGCGCCCGAGCGCGTCTAACAGGTCTTGTATGACGGGCATTGGGTACCGGTCGTCTGCCAAAATATTGTTAATGCCTTGATAATTTTTGACCATGCGCCACCTTTGATGAGGGAGGGCGTTGGGGTCTGGATTCTTTTTCTGCGTGAGGAAGGCTGGCAAGTTATACAGCGACGAGGCGGGCTCGATGAGGCCTGCTTCTAAGTATTCGTCCACCAAGGCTGAAAACAAAATGTTCATCTCTGCGGATTGGCAAAAAGACTTGGTATTCGGGATCTCGTTCGAGGTTGTTTTAAGAGCCACCATATGCTCTGGAAAAAAGCCGCAACAGCGGGACCATTGATGAATTAAGTCTGAATGCTGAAGAAGAATTTCTGTTACCCGTTTTTGCTCCCTTTCTGACCCGTTGGTGAAATTAATCCCTTCCCCCAGGGGTATGGTTGGAGGTGCGCAATTTTGAATACTCCGTTGAAATCCGACAAACGCGCGATTGCCATCAATGGTCAGCTTGAGTGGGAAATGTTGGAGCGCGGTCCTGCCGAGGAGGATGGGTGGGTCTGAGAGGTGGGGTAAGATCAAAAATGGAATCAAATATTGAAGACCGCAAAAGATGAAATTGATAGTCACTTGTTGAGCTACGGAAGCAGTATCTGAAGTTAACGCCGTTAAGATGTGGATAGAACAGGGGTGGGGCGATAATTTAAGGGAATCGACTAACCGTTGTGACACAAACGCGTGAGATGCTCAGGTATCCATTAATGCAGGGATGATGGAGTCTCCAATTTGTAAAGGAAGGACGATTGGAGGAGGTGCGGCAAGATCCGTATCCACACAGTGAGTTGCATTCACTGTGGCGGGCGCCATTTCCCTGTAATGAGAGTGGACAATTACGTCCAACATGTCCCAGGGCATGACAATGAAAACAATAAACAGAATTTGAGTTAGCGTTTTGCGTCAAATTTGTTGCGGCAGAACGTTGCGCCTGATTTGGAGCCGCGTTCTCTGCTGATGCGGGTCCTGCTCTGCTTTGCTGCCTCAACAGTATCCGACAATCTTGGGGAGAATGTCAAACGTGGGCTTGGTGCCCCTCACACCATTGTCTCTGGGGTCAGGGGTTGTGGGACGACTTCAAAGTTGATTTTGAACTGGTTCCGCTTTGGTTTGTGGCATGGTGGTGCAGACAGTATCTTTCGGCTTCTGCTATTGTCTGCGACCAGGTCCAGTTACGATTGTCAATCCACTTTTGACGTAACTCATCTTGTAGCCCGGATGGGGCGGCAAGGACAAGTTGTTCAATCAGCATCTTGTTTCGGATGGTCTCCGCTGATACAGGTTGCTGAGGTGGCGCAAGAAACGAGTCAAACGAGTGTTCTAACCTGCTGGCGAAGCTCACGTAGCTTTCCCCCGACTGTGGACGTAGCAACCGAAACCGGTCCAGGCAATCCAGGTGAGGCGTGGGATGAGAAACTGCAATTGCTGCGGCGAGGTCCTTGAACTCCCTGATTCCGCGTCCGTATAAAATGGACGCAGTTTCTCGAACCAGGGGTAGGGTCTTATTGATTAGACACCAAACCTTAGCGTTGGCGGAGACGTTGTTGATCTCTGGTATACGGCGTATCTGGTCCGCATAGTCCTCAAATGACTCCGAATCACGTTGCCGCGGGAGGTCGGACAGCTGCGGTTCTCCTGGATAATGGTTGGGTGGCGGTTGACTCATGGTTATTGCTGGCGATGGACTGGCGATGATGATCTCCTGACGGTCGGGAGGAGTCCAGGTTGTAATTTGCAGGTCCAAGGGGCAAAGGTGCCAACCCGGAGGTGGTATCCAGCCCACGGCGAGGGACTGCGGGATCCTGTTGGTCTCCAGAAGTGTCACGTAGTCCAAACGGTTGTTACCAGCTGGTGGGCCCAAACGATACGCCTCAACCAGGTACTGCAGGGTGGGTATAGCGGGATAACATCCCACTGGTTCCCGGGTGTCGCCGGAGGAGGTACCAGTGGTGCAGGGTTCCGCTGTTGAGGGTTTTTGGCCGGGAGCTGCTGAGCTGTGGATGACCCGGCGGCATCTTCCGCTGGCGGAGTCTGAACTTGCTCAGGAGGCACATACGGCTGTGCCGCGGCCTTGGAGTTTTCAGTGTTTCGCGTCATTGCTTTAGTGACGTTGACGCGATCAAAGTTCTGAAGCCGGACGAACCCCCAGTAAGGTTTTATGTAAGAGTCCTCGGCCAGCGTCACAAAGTAGACTGTATTTTCTAAGTCCACACAGCGGATGACAGCAACACAATCGCAGATGGCAGCAACACAAATATCATAAAGTCACAAATATAAAAACAACTGTCTTTGTCAAAGGTTAAGAGCGAAGTGGCGTACACTGGATCTCATCCGCCTCTCCTCCGATCTTGATAACCATCTTTCTTCTGGTTCTTGTCAGGGTGGGAGATTTGGTCGAGTGTTTGAAGTTTAGGAATATTCGGGTAGATGTCGTTACTAAGGTGAACCGGGAGGTATACCTTACTACGTCAATACCGAATCCGCAACATGTGGAGTCTCTTGAAAGAGTCATTGTTGTCCATCATTTGATACTGTGCAGGTTCCTTTGAGATATTGAGCAAGTGGAGAGGATCCACAGAACTGAAGTACAGTACTGTACTGTAATCTACATATATGCCCGCATCTGCAGTAACATAACAGGGAAGCTTCAGTTCATGTTATGTGTGGATCGGCCTTAACAAAGATACATTACAAACTCAGAGTAATATAGTAAGGTGTTTGGTTGGTAGAGTAATGTACGGCCGGTTAGGTATGATAGATGCACAGGAGTGTATTGGCTTTTCACAAGTAACTTTTCCTTTCACAACAGTAGAGGCTAAGACACTTGGCGAGGCGGCGTAGTCGGAGATGCGGAGTGTTGAACAGTTCAGTCAAGAGTGACCCGCGTTGTCCTTTTTGCGCGCTTATGTGCTTGTTTTCTTGACCCTCAGTCCCGTTAGGTTCTCTTGTGGTTTTGCGGTGGATGTTGTTCCCGGTTGGGGACCGTTAGGTTCTCTTGTGTGTGTCGTAGTGTGTGACTATATTCCTCACTGGTCTGCACCCCCCTTTCATCCAGTAGCAATGTGTGAGTTTTTCCAAAATCCAGGTTGTGGAGGCATGATGCCACTTTTCATGCAATGACCTGATGAATGCTCACAGAAGGGAGGAATGTTTTCTGTCCAAGGTATCCTTGCGGGGTTAAAGCCAGCATTGCCGCCAGGGCAGGGACACGTCAGTGTACTGCCAACTACAGGACATGACCAGTTGGGTAGTAGGGTTCCATCACAGGTCCGGACGCTTCTTGTTCTTGTGGTGGTTTGTAACATACATCCAGGTCGTGTGGTCATGGAACTTTTGTAGGATGCAAATTGCATCATCTGTGGCTTTGCGTCGCTCTTTGGCTGACCACCCAAGCTGATAGGGATTGACAAAGGCCGCACTGTGGAGTTGGGCCAGAGGTTTTGGATCCTTTTGTTGATGGCGGACAAAATACTCCTTAAACCTGGAGAGTGTCATGATCATCTTTTCTACCTTGTCCCACGTCCTGGCTTTTTTGAAGAGGGACAGGACTGTGTGGCATTCTGCCTGGTATGCCTGCTTGGGATCTTCCCGACGTTGGGCGGGGTTGGCTTGAACATTCAGTGGCAGA